CCAGCTGTGCCAGGGGAGGCTCAGGTTGGCCCTGAGGAGGAATTTGTTGCTGGCAAGGGTGGTGAGGCCTTGGCAGGGGCTGCCCAGGGAGGTTTGGAGTGCCCAGGCCTGGAGGTGTCCCAGGCAGGCCTGGCCGTGGCACTCAGTGCTCTGGGCTGGGGGACAAGGTGGGGATGGGGCACAGGGGGGATCCATGGGCTGGGAGGGCTTTTCCAGCCTCAGTTATCCTGGGATTCTCTGAGGAAAGACTTTATGGTACAGATGGTGGGGGAAAAAGGCATCAAAAGTGGCAGACTTTAAATCCAGTAAAATCATTGAGAGTCTCCAGCTCCATGAACTCTGTTTTGGTGAATGCTGTACCTGCAGTTACGTGATCACTGATTAGAGGATGAGGCAATACATTGGTATTTACAGTATATTTGGCTTCTCTTCCATGCAGGGGCTGGCTGTTGGGATTTTCTGTTGGGTTGTGTCCTTGGATTCATGGTTAAACCCAGCTCTGTAGTGCTAGGGGAGCTCAGTGGGCTGAACCAAGCTCAGTTCTCTTGTGAATCACCTCCCACTATCCCAGGTTGCTCCAAACTCCGTCCAGCCTGGCCTGGGACATTTCCAGGGATGGGCAGTTCCTGTTTGCCCAGTGCTGCAGAGGGGGGTAACTGGGATAACTGGGAGGATCCTGTGGGACACGGAGGTGGGGGATTTGCAGGAGGTGTCATCCCTCACAGTCTTGCTCTGATCTTTCTGTGGGCTCAAAGATTCTGGAGAAGTTCAGATAAGAGAAACAAAGAGAAACCCTTGGCCCTCGGGTACCTTTGGTTAATGGTAACTTCTAAAAATATTTTCCAGGATTGGAAGCTTGAGAAGGAATTCACACTGGATGGAAAACATTTTCTGAAGCTGGGCATATTCCAGGAACTGTGACCCAAATGTGTCTCTGTCCGTGGAGAAGATCTCACGTTTGAAATAACTTCTACTGAAGGTATGAACATCTGCCTTTGCTTCTGTCATGGAATGGTTTGGGTGGGAAGGGACCCATCCAGTGCCACCCCCTGCCATGGGCAGGGACACCTTCCACTGGCCCAGGTTGCTCCAAACCCCGTCCAGCCTGCCCTTGGACACTCCCAGGGATCCAGGGGCAGCCACAGCTTCTCTGGCCAACCTGTGCCAGGGCCTGCCCACCCTCCCAGCCAGGAATTCCTTCCCAATCTCCCATCTGTCCCTGCCCTCTGGCACTGGGAAGCCATTCCCTGTGTCCTGTCCCTCCATCCCTTGTCCCCAGTCCCTCTCCAGCTCTCCTGGAGCCCCTTCAGGCCCTGCAAGGGGCTCTCAGGTCTCCCTGGATCCTTCTCTTCTCCAGATGATCCCCCCCAGCTGTCCCAGCCTGGCTCCAGAGCAGAGGGATCCAGCCCTGGGAGCAGCTCCGGGGCCTCCTCTGGACTCTCTCCAGCAGCTCCACGTCCTTGTGCTGCTGTTCCCAGGGCTGGGGCAGCTCTGCAGGGGGGTCTCACCTGAGGGGGCAGAGGGGCAGGATCCCCCCCTGCCCTGCTGCCCACGATCCCTGTGGGATCAGCCCAGGGCACGGGGGGTTAGGGTCCCAGCACACACGGACAGGGCACTTGGAGCTTCCCATTTTTAATCTGGGGGATGTGCTCTGGTGGCGCCCCGTGGGGTTGTTCTTGGTATTTAATACCTGGAGTCATTGGAGAGGGAGCTGTGGCGTCGCAGGAATGGTCCTGAGGAGACTCAGAGCTGGTTCTGTACGGTGGAGTTCACCTTCTGGCAAGGGTGGTGAGGCCTTGGCAGGGGCTGCCCAGGGAGGTTTGGAGTGCCCAGGCCTGGAGGTGTCCCAGGCAGGCCTGGCCGTGGCACTCAGTGCTCTGGGCTGGGGGACAAGGTGGGGATGGGGCACAGGGTGGATCCATGGGCTGGGAGGGCTTTTCCAACTCCAGGGATCCTGGGATTCACGGTACGTTGGACTGGTTACTCTAAAACCTCATTCGACTGGGAAGTGCCCCTCAAAACCTGAGCTCTAATTTGCTGTCCATAATTGATAGGAACAGGATGGCACTTCTTTTTCCTTCACTCCTGGGGCACTGCCCGAGGCTGTTCCAGGAAGTCCCGTGTGGAAGTGACAATTTGTCATCGGGCAGTGAGAGTGAGCAGGGATTACTCAGAGGTGTTCCTGAGAGGAGGGGCTGGGAACAGCCAGCAGAGCAGTTGAAAGCACACAGGAGGAACTGCCCTTTCCTGCAGTGTGGAATTCCTTTGGGGGTTCACTGCCTCAGGACTCTCTGGAAGTGTCCTGAGGGAGCACCAGGATCCTTCCCAGTGCCAGCAGTGGAGCTGCTTGGCTCGGGCTTTCTGGTGCTCCAAAGGGAAGGGTTTGACATGAAGCAGGTTCTCCCAGGGGAATAGGTTATGAATTAAGGATTCAGAGATTGGATTGGTTAGATGGGATGTCGGGAAGGAATTCCTGGCTGGGAGGGTCCTGAGGCCCTGGCACAGAGCAGCTGTGGCTGCCCCTGGATCCCTGGAAGGTTGGGCAGGGCTTGGAACAACCTGGGCTGGTGGGAGGTGTCCCTGCCCATGGCAGGGGTGGGGCTGGATGGGCTTTAAGGTCCCTTCCCACCCAACCCATTCCATGATTTTATTCTATGATTTCTTTGGATGCTTCTGAACACGGGATTGTCCTGCAGTTCTTGTGACAGCTTTGGAAGGTTCAGTCTAATAAGTTTTCTATCCCAAGCAAGTGTTGCCTCCCTGCTGTTCATCTTCCTTCTGGGATCACTTGCAAATCCATGGCACAGTCTTGGTTTGGGACCAACCTTGTTCTATTCCTTAGCTCATTTTTGATTTATTGCCTGTGTTTTAACCAGCTGCTGATTCACAAAAGCAAGGGAGTGTTGCTTTAAAGCTGTTTGGAGAATCCCATTCCCTTCTTGGGAATTCAGCTGAGCCATGGCCTGGCCTGGCCTCGTCCTCCTGTGTTTTCCTTGGCGGGGGGGGGGGTCCAGTTTTGGAACAGCTTGCTGAAAAAGCTCGTTTGGGGCTCAAGTTCAGCAGGTTCAATAAAGTGAGACTTTATTCCCTGCAGCTGGTTATTGGATAACTGGGTTTAAAGGTGGAGAGCTCTTGGGTAAAGCCGTGTGTTCCTGGTGCTCTGTCCCCTCCTGACGTGCTTGGAACTTCCCCACACTCTGGAACTGGGGAGAATTCTCCACATTTTCTGGGGGGGCCTTTGGTTGCTTTGGGTAGCAAAGCTCGAACTTAACTTACTCTTACAGAGGAAACAGAGGAGATTTTGTATTAAAGCCTGGCCAAAAGAAGCAGCAACCTTAAAATTCCCATCGGGAACGTGTGTCTGTCGAGGCTGGAGGCAGTGGGAGCTGGGCAGGGTGTTCAGCTGCTGGAGCTGGAGCTCTCTGGGGGCTTTTAGACCAGGAAGGATGTTACTGGAATGTCAGAAGGATTCAGAAACTGCTTTTGGGAACAAGCAGGATAATGTCCTTCCCTCAGCATTTCCATGTGTTTCCACTTAGTAAGTAAGTGGAAAACATTAAGTGTTTGATTTTTATCAGGAATGGGCTTAAATAGGCCGAAATAAAACATCGGTACATGGCAGTGATTCCCTCCCAGTTTCCAGGAGGAGTTGCACGGAGTGGGATTCCTGGCCCTTTGTGCTCACTTTTCCTGGTCCTGGAGAGCCAAGAGCATTGGAAAGGCTGGGAATGCTGTGGATGTTTGTTTGTGCCTGTGGGAATAACCCTGGGAGAAATAACACAGGGACAGAGCTCGCATAGTCTCGGAATCCCGGAATCCCTGAGGCTGGGAAGGCCTCCCAGAGCAGTGAGCCCAACCTGTGCCCAATCCCCCCTCTTGTCACACCAGCCCGGAGCAACAAGTGCCCTGATTTCCTTTCCCTCTGTCCTCACTGGGAGTTCCAAAAATCTGGGAAGCTGGGTGTGCTCCGTCACCCCAGGGAGCCAGGAACAGGCCATTCCCTGGGGCTGCTCAGCGGGAAGCTGAGAGTTCAGGCATTAAAAATAAACCATGGAAGGACAAATCTCCTACTGCTGTGCCCAGAAGGAGCACGCTGGGCTCACAACATCCTCTGTAAAAGGTGGATATTTTTCCTTTCTGCTGAGGAGGAGCTTTGCAGGCACGGGGAGGGGGGACTGGCCTGGCTCTGGGTGGGATAAAAATAACAAGGAGAAATAGAAAAACAGGCTCCTGATGGAGATGGAGGAAGAACTGCCCAGAGCAGAGGTGGCAAAGGGGGTCCCTTGGTTGGTATTTCTGAACAGCAAGTGAATTAATTGTTAACGTTTTGTAAACTCAGCTTGTGTTTTGTTGGCAAGAATCGTAATAAACCCAACCCCGAGGAGGCAGAGTTTGTTAGTCTTGGAATTCTGTGTCGGAACAGGGAGATTAAATATTTCCTACATTGTCCCAGACAAGTTAAATACCCCAACCTTGCCATTTTATTGTTAATAGGAATTAACTGTGCGGGTTTGAGACTTGTCCTGCTGCGCTTGATCCAGGTGAGGCCCAAACACACCTACAACAACCTCCCGTCCCCTGATGGCCTTGAACTGAAGGAGGGCAGGGTTAGATGGGATATTGGGAAGGAATTCCTGGCTGGGAGGATGGGCAGGCCCTGGCACAGGTTGGGCAGAGAAGCTGTGGCTGCCCCTGGATCCCTGGGAGTGTCCCAGGCCAGGTTGGACGGGGCTTGGAGCAACCTGGGCCAGTGGGAGGTGTCCCTGCCCATGGCAGGGTGGGACTGGATGGGCTTTAAGGTCCCTTCCCACCCAAACCATTTCAGGATTCCGTGATCTTTCGAAGCATACCTAGAGGATTGGTTTCAGTTTCACATTGTTAACCATCTTCCCCAAACCACTGAGTGCCAGGGATGGCCTTGTGTGTCCTCCTTGACTGAAGGCTCTGTGCTCCTCCATCCCTTGTAAACAGTCTCTCTCCAGTGGAACGAGATGATCTTGAAGGTCCCTTCCCACCCAAATCATTCCATAATTAAGGCCTCCAGTCCCATACAAGCAGCATCTGCAGCTGGTTGGGAGGTGGAGCTGTTCCCTGTCCTTCCCTGATCCGTGTTCCCACAAGGATGCTGATCCCTGCAGTCCAGGGAGATTCCCACAGATCCATCCAGGCTGTGCTGCCGGGGATATCCCGACTCTGCCGGACTGGGGGAAGCTGGTGGGCTGTTCCTGCTGCTGGGAGCTTCAGGCTGGACAGGGCTCACTGGAACTCTCACACTGAGCACGTTGTGCTTTTATCCCCAGATACAAGAGCTGGAAACAGCTTGGGAAGCAAAATAGCCGGAGTTATCTTGGGCAGCAGGAATGTGTGACCCTGACACGTTTACCCTCCTGTTCTCATCCTCTGCTTCAGCTCCTTTGCCCTGTTGTTTAAGGAGGGAAAGTGAAACTCGAGCAGTTGGTGTACCAGGGATTGTTTGGAATATCCCCGTGGCTTGGAACAGCCCGGTGGGACCCCAGACAGGCCCTGCCTTGGCTAAAATAAAGCCAGGCTGGAGGTGAGGGATGGCGGCTCCGTGAGGGAACAGCCACTTTTGGAAAGCTTATTTTGGGCTGTTCACAGCTGCTGATCCCTGCAAATCCTCGGGCAGCTCGGGGCTTGTCCGGCTTTACACAACAGGGAGCTGAAATGTGGGAACAGGGAGCTGGAAGGGGGATGTTTGTGGTGGGAGCTGAGGGGCAAGGGGGACACGGGAGGAGCTCAGCACAGGTAGTGAAATCATGGACTCCTGGAATGGGTTGGGTGGGAAGGGACATTAAAACCCATCCAGTGCCACACCTTGCCATGGGCAGGGACACCTCCCACTATCCCAGGTTGCTCCAACCTGGCCTTGGACACTCCCAGGGATCCAGGGGCAGCCACAGCTTCTCTGCCCAACCTGTGCCAGGGCCTCCCCACCCTCCCAGGGGAGAACATCTTTGCTAAGAACTGCACCAAGGGCCTCAGACAGCCCAGGGAAGATCAGAAAGCTTTTCCTAGAGACGTATGAAAAGTTTTGGAAGACTGCAGAATTGCCAGGTTTATAACGGTTTTAAATTTGAAAGGTGAGATTTACGTGTGGATTCCACATATATGTAGGGAATATTTATGTATTTGGGTTAACTGTGCACCCAAACCTTCTACATTTAAGGCCTTTTATGCCAGATTTTCCCTCGGTGAATTTAGAACCAAGCAGAGATAGTTAAAAATATCTGAAGAACAGTTTGTAAGGAACACACCGAGCCCAACAGCATCGCTGTCACTGCAGTGTCACGTAGGTTGAACACTCAGATGCCTGCTCCCAACCCCAAAATTCAGTTGCTGAAATCCCAGGATAACTGAGGCTGGAAAAGCCCTCCCAGCCCATGGATCCCCCCTGTGCCCCATCCCCACCTTGTCCCCCAGCCCAGAGCACTGAGTGCCACGGCCAGGCCTGCCTGGGACACCTCCAGGCCTGGGCACTCCAAACCTCCCTGGGCAGCCCCTGCCAAGGCCTCACCACCCTGTGGCTCTGCTCTGGTGACTGGAAGGGACAGCCCCCATCAGTGGAAGGTGTCCCTGCCCGTGGTCTAAAGGGGCTCCAGGAGAGCTGGACTTGGGACAAGGGATGGAGGGACAGGACAAGGGGAATGGCTCCCCACTGCCAGAGGGCAAGGGTACAAGTGACAGAATGAGAGGAAACAGCCTCAAGTTGTGTCAGGGGAGATTTTGTTTGGATACTGGGGAAAATGCCTTCATGGAAGGGGTTTGTCAGGCGTTGGGAGAGGCCCCGCAAGTCGGTGGCAGAGTCACCATCCTGGAGGTGTTCAGGACACGTGTGGATGTGGCACTTGGGCACGTGGGGCAGTGGTGACCGTGCTTGGGGGGGTTGGACTCGATGATCTCGGGGGTCTTTTCCACCCCTAACAAATCCAGGATAACGAGCAGCAGAGGTGCAGCGTTAACCGTCCCCTTTCTGCCTCCCAGCCAGCCGTGTCCCATCACCATGTTCTGGAAGTTTGATTTGAACACAACGTCGCACGTGGACAAGCTGCTGGACAAGGAGGATGTGACACTGGAGGAGCTGATGGACGAGGATGACGTCCTGCAGGAGTGCAAGGCCCAGAACCGCCGGCTGCTGGACTTCCTGTGCCAGCAGCACTGCATGGAGCAGCTCGTCACCCTCATCACCCATGAGCCCCCCCTGGACATGGACGAGAAGGTCCGATTCAAGTAGGTATTGGGGTCCTGTCCTCCCCCAACACCCACAGATCCCGGGGCTGCAAACCGAGGGGTCCCGTCCTCTGGTGCCAGGGGTGTCACCTCCCTGGGGGGGGAAACAAGGCTTTGAGCGCTGGGGACATTTCTCAGCATTTTGGGGCTTGTAGGGCATTTTCAGAACCTTTTGGCTTTATTTTTAAGTAGTTGAACGTGGAGCTTGTCTTATAAAAATGTCTCTTGCTGTTCACTCCAAATCAACGTCTCCAAAGTCCCTCGAGGAGGGTTTTATTGGAATTGCAGCACAAGAGGGAGAAATCTCTGAAGTCAAAGGGTTTTCAAACCCCCAGAAGAAAGTGAGCTGTAAAACGAGTAGAAAATGTAATATTCCCAGTGTGCTGGACATTCAGCCCCTGCTGATTCCAGGGATCAGAGTTCCAGAGGACCTGACTCTGCTCAGACTCTGCTGAGCTCCTCGCAGGGTTTGGTTCTCACAGGAACTTGTGCTTATCCACTTTTGACCAAATGTATGCTTCAGAATATTTACATTTTGGAGTTGGGAAGTTAGTTTGTTTGCCTTTGTTAAGTTTATATAAAAATAAAGGGTTGCTCTGACTATAAACAAATAAAACCAGGCAGGTTTTTCCTGGTGGGAATCGGTCAGTGTTGGCCATTGCTCAAAGGCCCCAAAACTGGGACTGTTTGGGTTTACTGTCAGGTGAGACAGTTGATAACTGTCTTTAGGGGACTGTTCCAGGTGGGAAGGACTTGCTGGCTGGGAGGGTGGAGAGGCCCTGGCCCAGTTTGTCCAGAGCTTCTGTGGCTGCCCCTGGATCCCTGGATGTGTCCCAGGCCAGGTTGGGTGGGGTTTGGAGCAACCTGGGCCGGTGGAAGGTGTCCCTGCCCATGGCAGGGGGTGGCACTGGATGGGCTTTCAGGTCCCTTCCCACCCAAACCGTTCCACAATTCCATGATTGTAATGGCACAGGGAAGGTGGAGACAAAGACAGAGGTTTCAAGGAGCAAATTCCTCTGGGTCACTGTGGCTGACCTGGATGGGGCAGTTTTTGGAAGTTTTTGGAGTCCCACGGGCAGACAAGGCACAGAAGCCTTTCCAGAGCCTGGGGAGGCACAGGAGAGGGGAGAGAGGGTTTGAGCTTATGAGAAGCTGGGAAGCTTTTGGAATAAATAAAGGCTAAGCAGGAAGAGTGGACTCTTGTCTAAATCCAGATGGAATCCCAGTTTTGGCTCTTCAGAAAAGGTTATGAGAGTTTGTGAAATTGGAATGGGGAGAAACTCGATAGGTCTGGAAGGACGTGCGGCTCGGGATGGCGTGAGCTGGGGAAAGGGAATCGTCAAATCCCTCCTTCTGGAGAGGCTGGGATGGAAGTTCCCAAAGTTCAGAAGGGAACTGCAAAGAGAAAAACTCCACAGTAAAGCCCCATCCAAGCAGAATGTGTGGAGTTGAGCACCTGGAGGGAGACCTGGAGCAAGAAAGGAAAGCGTGAGCTCTTGGAATGTGGTGGCTGTTTGGAATGGATTGGTGATGTAGTGAGGTGTCCCCAGAACCCGCTGGGACCACAGGGTGGGGAGAACACAACTTCCAGGGGTGTCAGAGGGTGCCTTGGGGGACAGAGGGTGAGTGTCAGGTGAGGTGAGTTTCCTGCAGCCTGGAAACCAGCAGGGCTGGGACAAGGTGCCTGAAGGGAAAGGGTGAGGTGATGGATCAGGACCTGGGGGTGTGGAGGCTGCAGGAACAGAAGGTTCTGGAACAAGGAGAGGGTTCATTTCTCCCCTGTGCCCAGAGAAGCACCACACACGGATTTTTAGGAATAGTGGATGCCTTTTGCATGGAGCAATGAGCCAGAAAAAGGAGAAATGAGTCTCCATGTCCCCTTGAGGGCTCTGGGAAATGTAATGGGTGTAAAATCCCTGTGTATTGGAACCATAATGCCCTGAGCTTTAGCGTCCTCTGAGCAGGAAAGAGCACAGAAACAGCATCACCAGGGCCTTGGTGGGGTGGTTTGGGGAGTTTTAGGACTGGAGCTCCATAAATACAAGGAGCCTGTTTGGGAAGTGCGTGGTGCTGGGAAAGGGGGCAAAGCTTCCAGCTGGCCTGGGAATGTTTTAGTGGCTTGTGGAGGGGGGAGAGCTTGGATTGCAAAGATTGAAAAAGGTCCTGATGTAGAAACCAGGTTTGATTAGAAACAAGTAACCCTTTGAAGGTAAAAGTACATCCTCACGAGAGGGAATCAGTCATGGAATGGTTTGGGTTGGGAGAACCTCAAAGCCCATCCAGCCCCACCCCTGCCATGGGCAGGGACACCTTCCACCAGCACAGGTTGCTCCAAGCCCCATCCAACCTGGCCTTGGACACTTCCAGGGATCCAGGGGCAACATGAGCCAGGGCCTGCCCACCCTCCCAGGGGAGAACATCTTCAGGAAGGGCTGTCCCCAGGGGAGGTTTCCCAGGGAGTTCCCGCTGTCGTTGCAGGTATCCCAACACGGCCTGCGAGCTGCTGACCTCGGACGTGCCGCAGATCAACGACAAGCTCGGCGGGGACGAGACTCTGCTCAACATCCTCTACGACTTCCTGGATCACGAGCCTCCCTTGAACCCTTTGCTTGCCAGTTTCTTCAGTAAGACTATCGGGAACCTCATTGCACGGAAAACGGAACAGGTAGTGCTGGGCACACGTGGTCTCCTTTGCTGCCCCCCAGGAGCTTGGGGCAGTCTGAGGGTCAGGTTAGAGGTTGGAGTTCAAATGTAGTCTCCCAAAAGGTCTTGGAATTCGTCGCTTGAGGGAGGTGCTGGCTTAGGCAGGCACCTTCCCAGAGTTTTGGGGTGGGATCTGCCGCAGTCGGGGTGTTCCCGTGCCACAGCTGAAGGTTTGTTTTCCATACTAAGGCATAGTGAGGCATTCTGTGGTCGTCAGAGCCTCGGTCTCATCCCTGTAAAAGGGGTGCTGAGCAGGGGTTTGGGAATGTGCACATCCCAGTTAAATACTGGTTTTTAAAATGAAGGCTGTCAGAGACTGAGAGAAAAGCACAATTCTCCAGCTTCACTTGATGCTCTTATCTCTGTGGCCTTGGGCTTCTTCTGTGGTGCAGAGGAGACAAAAGTTGGCTATAAAGGTTGTGTTTAGTCCTGCCATGAGATAAGAACATTATTCTCCTGTTCTCTGGAGAGTTCCCGACCTCGTGGCCGCTGGGATCAGGGTTGGGTGGCTGGGAGGTGAAGCCCAGGGGTTGTGTGTGTGTGTGTGTGGTGCTGGCAGCTGACGGGGGCTCCCTTTCCTCCCAGGTGATCGCATTTCTAAGGAAAAAGGACAAATTCATCAGCCTGGTGCTAAAGCACATCGACACATCAGCCATGATGGACCTGCTGCTGCGGCTCATCAGCTGCGTGGAGCCCGCGGCGCTGCGGCACGACGTGCTCAACGTGAGGGCTGGGCCTGGGGGCTGCCCTGCTGGGCTCTGCTGCTGGGAATGGGCCCTGGGAGCTGCCCTGCTGGGCTCTGCTGCTGGGAATGGGCCCTGGGAGCTGCCCTGCTGGGCTCTGCTGCTGGGAATGGGCCCTGGGAGCTGCCCTGCTGGGCTCTGCCAACAGGGATGGGGCTCTGGGGGGAACCAGGGTCCTGTGGGTCGCTGATTCTGAGAGCAGGCCCTGGCCCAGGTTGGCCAGAGAAGCTGTGACTGCCTCTGGATCCCTGGAAGTGTCCAAGGCCAGGTTGGACGGGGCTTGGAACAATCTGGGCTAGTGGAAGGTGTGGATATAGGAGGTGGCACTGGATGGGCTTTAAGGTCCCTCCCAGCCCAACCCAACCAATTCCATGATTCCATGGGCTTTGCAGTCCATTCCAAAGCATCCTGTGATTCCGTGATTCCATTGTTCTAAGATTCTGTCCTTGCAGAAACCTCCAGAGTCTTTTTCCTTTTAGTGAGTGTTTGGTGAGTTATTCCCAAGGCAGCTGGGAATGCATTTGGTTATTTTGAGGGATGCCACACATCCAGCAGTTGGCCTGGAACAGTTGGGTGGAGATGAGGATGAGCTTGTAGGGGAGTTTCCCAGAGTTATTTAGGTTGTAGTTCCATAGCAGGGTGGAAATCAGAATCCATCCCTGTCCGTGCTCAGGGAATTTGGGTCCTGCCTGTGGCTGGGAGTAGGAGAGAGGAGGAAGGGCTTCCCCTTCCTGAAAAGCCTGAAAAGCTTCTCAAAACTCCTCTTGTTCCGAGTTCTGGGAAATCAAACAAGGATTTTCTTTTCCTCCAGTGGCTCAATGAAGCGAAGATTATCCAGAGACTCGTGGAGCTGATCCATTCCAGCCAGGACGAGGACGTGAGTGTGACCAGAGTCTGGGCTCTGGGGGTGAGGGGTCCTGCAGGGTCTGTCCAGGAGACTCCCTGGTCCCTCTGGAGATGTCCTGGAGACCTGTGGAGGAGCTGAGGGACAACCTCAGAGTGTCCTGTCTACAAGAGCCCTTTGTTATGGTTTTAATTTGGTTTGAATCTGGTTTGTACTCCCAATTCCTTGGTTCATTTTGCTGCTGCCTCAGTTCATCTCAAACCTGCAGGCAAGGGGAACGTCACTGGCTTTAAGGAGGAACCTGCTATTCCTTGAAAATCTTTTAAAATTGTGCAGTTCTCACATCTTTTGGCCCATAAGTAGGAATTCAGTCCTAAAATCGACAAGATGAGTTCTCTGAGCCCAGAAAAAGTGGCAGTGCCAACCCTGATTCCCTCAGCTCATCCCAGCCAAAATTACGCCTCTGGGAGGAAAAATTGGGAAGTGCTGGTGGATCTGTGAGTCTGAGCAGAGCTGTCAGGGGTGATGCTGAACTGCAGCTGCTCCAGAGAGAGGCTTTGATTGGTGGCCAGAACGAGAGGATTAATCCCTCAAAATACCCCTGCAAAGCCTTTGAATCCACAGTAATTAAGTTGTAAAGGGTTTTATCAAAGCATTTCTTTCTCTTCAGGCGGGAAACCTGAGCGGGGAGCAGGAGGGATGAGACGCTTGTGTTGGGAATGTGCAGGTTGAGGAGGGAGATGAAAAAGAACCTTCATTTTCATCAACTCCTGGACTGCAGTTAATCATTGAGTCCGGACCAGTCTCCCTTTTTGATTTTAAGATCTGTGAATGTTCTGATCAGGGGTGTGTCTAACAGGGGAGCCACCTCCAGTGTGGCAGGAAAAATTGGGATCGATCCCTGTTGTTGCACTCCCGGTGCGGTTCCGTTTCCCCTGACTGTGCTTCGTGTCCTTGTTCCAGAGGCAATCCAACGCTTCCCAGACCCTGTGTGACATCATCAGGCTGAGCAGGGACCAGAGCACGCAGCTCCAGGACGCCCCGGAGCCGGATCCCCTTCTCACAGCACTGGAATCGTGAGTACCCGGGCTGGGGCTCCCTCAGGGATTGTTCCGTGCACCCAGGGCATGTCCAGCCTGGCCACAGCTCCTGTGCCAGCCAGGAGGGTGCTCTGAACTGCCCCTGCTGGGGTTTGTGGCTCCATCTGAAGGCAGCAGGTGGGCCTCAGGGAGCCCAAAGTTCCTGACCTGGTCCAACGTGAGGCAAAACCCTCTCACATCGGAGAGGTTTCAGGCTGGGAGAGTTGGGGTGTTCAGAAGGTTGTGAGAGGCCTCACGGCGCCTTCCAGGGTCTGAAAGGGCTACAGGGAAGTGGAAAGGGACTGGAATGCCAGGACAAGGGGGAATGGGTTCAAATTGAAAGAGGGGAAGTTTAGGTTGGATATTGAGGAGGGATTCCTGGCTGGGGGGGTGGGCAGGCCCTGGCACAGCCTGCCCAGAGAAACTGTGGCTGCTCCATCCCTAGAAGTGTCCAAGGCCATTTGGACAGGGCTTGGAGCAACCTGTGCCCCTGGAAGGTGTCCCTGCCCATGGCAGGGGTGGCACTGTCTGTCTCTAAAGTCCCTTCCCACCCAACCCATTCCACAAGTCTGTGGTATCCCAAACAACGTTCAGTGTGAGCCGTGTGCCACCAGCGTTGATTTTCCCGGTTTGCTCCATTCCCTCGGTGTTTTTCTTTGCTCTTTGTAATGTACATTTAAATTATTTATGTACCATGTTTTTCTGCTTCTTGTGTTTGCTTCAAACCGAAAATTTTCCTGGAGGTTCTCCGTGAGATTGAAACCAGAACCAGGCTCTTTCAGGCCCGGAGGGAACATTTTGACAGGAAAGGGCTGAAAAGGAGCTGTGCAGTGAACAGCAGAGCAGCTGCAGCTGGGGCTTCAAACTCCCCCTGGACATGTTTGTGTCCACCCAGAGCTCCTCAATTCCTGTGACAGTGCTGGTGTTCTCTCCCGATTCAGAGCTCTCAGTTCCCACAGGACTGTAAGGGCATCCCATGGTGTGTGGGGGTGGGAATGGATGTGGGTCCTGCTGCACACAAGCACTGGGAAGCCACCAGGACCTTCCTGGGCTTGACATGGAGCTCTGCCCCTGCCAGGACCTGCTGCTCTTCCTTAAATGCTTCATTTCCTTTGCGGCACCTGCAGGAATGGGGCAGATCTTTGTGCCATGGACATAATCCTGTCCTGGCAAGTAGCACAGCGTTGGATTTTCATGGAGTCCCAGGATGGTTTGAGGTGGGAAGGGACCTTAAAAATCATCTCCCTGCCATGGGCAGGGGCACCTCCCACCAGCCCAGGTTGCTCCAAGCCCCATCCAGTTTTGTAGAGGGCTGTGGGACCCTGCGCTTCCAAAAACATCTCTAGAATTCCTGGTACCACTTCATTGTCCAAGAAATAAAGGATATTTGAGCAAAAGTGATTTTTTTGCTTCTCTATTCCCTTTCTGTTGAAGGTCACAAATCCCGTTACTTTTTTTCCCAGCATTTCTGGTGACCTTTTTGATTTTGGATAACTTTTATCATCTCTGAGTCAGGAATTAATGATCAGCTGGGGCAGGATGAAGGAGCCAGGACCAGGGTTATGGAATAAACCCTAAATCCAGATTTCAGAGGCTGCTGGCTGGGTGAAAAAACAGTGAACTCAGTTAATTACAGGAAATTTACTTTTTTTTTTTCCTGACTCTGCCTCTCCTGCCTTTGCTGACGGGGTGTTTTAAGAGGCTCCTCATTAACATAATCCTCTCTCGTGCATTATTCATCTGTTTTTACATTTTTATCTCATATTTTATTTATACCAGTGGAAATATGTTAGGAAATAGTACAAATTGGGCTGTGAACTTGAGCAATGCTGGTTTAAGCTGGACCTGTGACTTAGGAGGGCAAGGAAGGCACTCACCGAGTGCTGGATTTTGAGGGATCTGTCGTTGACATCCTTGGGATCCTCGCGGGAAGAGCCTGAGTTCTGTGGTTCTGGTGGATAATTGCAGATGATCAGCAAGAGCTTCACTTTTATAACTTTAATAACTTGCACTGACAGAGCTGGCACCGGGGTTGTGCTCCGGGTTAGAACCACGAGGGGGTGAAGGAGAAGGACAGGTTGGTTTGGGGTCTGGGTGTTTGTACCCAGGTTCAGAAAGCAGAACCAGTCACGTGCCGTGGGACTTCACCGAGCAGTGTCTTTATTCCTTCCCAAAATAACTCAATAAACGTGGCAGCCCCTTTTTCTTTTTTTCCCCCCCAAAGAAGACCCACAGGTGGGTATTTTGTGATGAAAGCAGCTGCCGAAATCCGTGTGATTCTTACCCCGTGGTGTCACCCAACAGGCAGGAATGTGTGGAGCAGCTCCTGAGGAACATGTTCGATGGAGAGCAGACGGAGAACTGCATCGTCAACGGGACGCAGGTTCTGCTGACGCTGCTGGAGACGCGGCGCTCCGGGTGAGTCGGACCGGGAGCAGCTTTGGGAACCCCCCTGTCCAGATTTATTGGGCAAAAAGGACGTTTTGGGGGCCTGGTGGGAAGTGTCTGCAAGGGCAGGCAGTGCCAGGAGAAGAGGAAATGACTTGAAGCGAAAAGGGGAGATTTAGATGGGATATTGGGAAGGAATTGCTGGCTGGGAGGGTGGGCAGGCCCTGGCCCAGGTTGGGCAGAGAAGCTGTGGCTGCCCCTGGACCCCTGGGAGTGTCCAAGGGCAGGTTGGAGCAACCTGTGCTGGTGGAAGTTGTCCCTGCCCATGGCAGGGGGTGGGACTGGATCGGCTTTAAGGTCCCTTCCCGCCCAAAGCACACCACAATTCCATGATTCTCTGTGTGTGACTGTATAGTTCTAATTTTGCTTTTAAAAGTTATCTCCCCTTTTATTTCTTCTTGTGGAGAAAGAGGAGAGAAAAGTCAAAGAGGGGTTTGTGGAGGGGAGTGAGACATTGAACATCTCACTGTTCAAAAAGGAGGAATCAGGAAGGGTGGAGATCATGGAGCTTCAGGGAGAGGCCATGGAGGGCAGGACAGGAGGGGGCACTGGGGAAACACCAAACAAGGTGTTGGTCAGAAGGTCATGGCAGAGTTGAACTGAGAAGGAACTGAGACAGGAATTGTGTCGGGGCTGGTTCCTGGGATCTCTGGAGCTTTGTCAGCTGGAGGCTCAGGGATTGCTGCCCAGCTCATTGCTGACTGTCTGGAATTCCATTTCCTAACGGAGTGCAAGTGTTTGTGTTACTGCAGATGGGTGGTAGAGCTGTTGTAATTTCCTCCCAGCCAGTAAAGAGGGGTGATGAGCACAGCTCCAGCCCCTCAGGCTTCCCATCACTTTGTGTCTTCATGTGCCTCTTTTTGAACACCTGGGGAGGATTTACAGCTTTTAACAAATATTTGTAGTTAACTTGCTGGTGTCATTTGCTTCTCAAATGTTTGGGGACTTTTAAAGACCGGGAAGCCCTTCAGGAATGTGTCTCTGTCACCTCAGGCACAGGTTTGACACGTGAAGTTTGATATCAGGTTTGATACTTGAAGAGCATCTTGTAAATGCTACATTACTATAATGTGTGTAAATATATTGTGTGAATATATTCTGTGGCTGGAAATGTTTGTTTTTCATATTCACAGTTATTTTTTCAGAGAAAATCACTGACTAGCGTGGCCAGTGAGACTGGAGACCCTTGTAAGGTTTTATCAGATCTCCAGCTCAGTGGACACTTGAGATGTAAAGGAGAATTGTTTTAGTGGCACTGCCGATTGAACAAGTTGGGCAGCGATTTTAATACCACAAAGTCACGGAATCCCTGGGTGGTTTGGGTTGGAACGGAACCTGAAAGACCCGTGTGCTACCGTGTGGGTTGTTAAAACACCGGGAAGATTTATGCCGAGGGAATTGTCCTGCTCTTCCCCTGGCAGAGTGGAAGGACTGATGGACTCGTACACTCAGGGATTCGAAAGGTCTTACACTGTCAACAGCAGCATCTTGCACGGGATCGAACCACGGCTCAAGGACTTCCACCAGCTGCTGCTCAGCCCACCCAAGGTAGGGTGTGTGCTGACACACAGGTCTTGGGCAGTGCCAAGAGCAGGAGGCTGCCACGGGCAGAGGGCCTGGGGAGGGAAATTCACTCGTCAGTGTGATAATTCAGGTGCTCGGGGATTAGGCAGGAGGAATCTATGAGCTGTTGTGCTCAGGGAAATCCAAGAAAAACAGACACTTGGGACTGGGGAATTGAGTGAGGATGGTGAAGAGGAAGGGAACTTTTAATTAGTGGATGTTTGGGTTTTAATCTTCAGATTTTGGAGGTCAGAGGCTCCCAGCGGTCATAGGGACTGGGAGGGTGGTTTAGGCTTCCCTGCGGAGAAATGAAGTGGTTCTGTGAAATCCCAGAATCCCAGGATAGTCGGGGTTGGAAGGGCTCTCTGGAGACCATCCCCTGCCCAGGCAGGGTCACCCAGAGCAGGTGGCACAGGCACATTCTGAGTGCCTTTGGAATGTCTCTGGAGAGGGACACTCCACCCCCTCCCTGGGCAGCTGCTCCAGGCTCTGCCACCTCCGTGGCAAGAAGTTCTTCCTCGTGTTGAGGTGGAACTCGGGGTGTAATTTCTGGCCATTGGGAAGCAAACCCCCTGTGTGTGTGTGTGCCCTGGAGGGGTGCTGATGAGAGCTGGCCCCTGCCCTGTTCCCACAGAAATCCGCAATCCTGACCACGATCGGGGTCCTGGAGGAGCCGCTGGGGAACGCGCGGCTCCACGGCTCCCGGCTCATCGCGGCGCTGCTCCACACCAACACTCCCAGTATTAATCAGGAACTATGCAGACTCAGTACCATGGATTTATTACTTGTGAGTATCCCAGCGGGACACCGGCAGCGGGGAGAGGGGAAGGACTTCCCGCTGGGAACAGTTTTGCTTTCCCTTTCATCTCCTTGGCACGAGGGGGCTGGAGCCTAATTACTCCTCTAATCTGCTGCGGGAGCATCCAGCCCTGGAACAGCCTTTGTGATCCAAATCCAATTGTTTGGGATTTGGAACGGAGCCTCACACTTAACATTTCTTGTTAATGCAGTGGAGGGTGTGTGAAACACTCTGGTTGTGTTGTGTGTGAACTCCTGTAGTGCTGGGAACTGGACTTCCTCACAGCATCCCAGGATCCCAGAGGTTGGAAAAGCCCTCCCAGCCCATGGATCCACCCTGTGCCCCATCCCCACCTTGTCCCCCAGCCCAGAGCACTGAGTGCCACGGCCAGGCCTGCCTGGGACACCTCCTTTGATTGTCCTGCTGGGAACAGGGACCAGGTCTGGAAGGTTCTGATATAACCTGGGCGACCCTAAGAGAATTATTTCCATACTTAGAAATTATTAGTTACTCTTTTCTTAGGATTAAATCAGCCACAGAGTAGTTAGGTTGGTTTTTTCGGCATGTCTGTGCTGTGAGTCCTGCCTGGGAGCGAGAGGATTCCCAAGTGCTCAGTTTATTGGGAAATGTTCATTTATTTCCCAATAAACTGAGCACTTGGGAATCCAGAGGCAGCAGAGCCCAGCCAGCCCTCAGTGGCTACTGGGGTGGAGAAGGAAAATTGTTTTAGTGGAATTGCTGATTAAACAAGTTGGGCAATGATTTAATATCACAAAGTCACAGAATCCTAGGGTGGTTGGGGCTGGAAGGGCCCCTGCAGATGTTTGACCGTTAAAAACAGGAAGATTTATCCACACCGAATTAATTCTTCTACTTCTTCCTCTTTCTTCCAGGACTTATTTTTTAAATACACGTGGAATAACTTTTTGCATTTCCAAGTGGAACTGTCCATAGCAGCTATCCTGTCCCACTCTGTGCAAGAGGGAAAGCCCCCCACGAGCGACCAGGAGAGCAAAGAGGAGGCTCCGAACGGGAACGCGGCGCACGCGGAGCCTCCGGCCAACACCCCCGAGAACCTCATGGTCACCCACGTGAGTCACCCCAGCCCGGGTTCCCTCTGCGCTGGATCCACCGGGAATCGGTGGATCGACCATTCCAGAGCGGGAATTTTTTATTCTTAGTACTCTGTTGTTGTTTGCTGTTGGTTCTTGTGGCTCCGCATCCGCTTTTGTACGTTTGTTTTTAGCCTCCTGTTACAAAAATAAACGTAAAAATCACCACGTTCAGTGGGCTCATGGATCCATTGGTCTTTAATTCCATTTGTTTAGTAAAAATACCTGTAAATTTTGGACAAAAAAACCCCTCCCTGAGCACGTTTCAGCTTCCCTTTTGGGGCCCTGCTGGCGAAACCTCCGTGCTGTGGCTCCAAACGCCAGCAGCGTTTCCATTCCTGCTGCTGGAAAGCCCAAAAGAAGGGGGATGTCACAGGTGTTGCTGTTCTCCCTGAATCCTCAGGGAAAATAATTGGGAAAGGAGGAATTCTTGGGCGAGGGAAGTGCTGAAATCTGAGGTTTTGAGGAGTGAAGGGAGGAACAGAAGAACCCACGTTCAGACTCGTGGGCTGTGAGTGTTTCTTTGGAAAATCCTGACTGTTCTCCCTCTTTTTTTTTTTTTTTTTTCCCTCCAGCTGTTCCAGAAGTGCTGCCTGGTGCAGAGGATACTGGATGCCTGGGAAGCCAATGACAAAATCCAGTAAGGAATTGCTGCTCCAGGGCTGCACATTGAACTGTTGGGAGGATTTACAGTCTGAACGCACTGGGATTTTGGGATTTGGGAATGGGGTGATTTGCATGTGAAAAAGCCAAACTCCCCAAATACACATAGCATTTGAAAGCCTGATTATTTTTTGGGGTATCTTTAATAACACCTCATCCCAAACACACAATCTGCTGCTTTCCCAGGAAATCACAAAGAATATTCACTTCTTTCTTTCTTGTATTTTTTGTTTTAAATCCATAGTTATGTTCTCCCTAGTATGGAAAACTGTGTGGAAATTGAGGTGGCCAAGCATTTTTGCCTGGATTTGCCCCGTATTTCATAGTTTACCTCTATAAACCCCTTGGGTTTTGTGCTGATTTCCAGTGATAAGAACTAAATAATTAAAAAAAAAATCCTAAAACATTTTAAAGTGAAAACACTTCGGAGGCTTCACTTTCCTTGTCCGGTGGAATGTTTTGGTCCTCCCTCACTGTTTTGAGTTCTCGAACTCCCACTGGAGCTGGTTTAGGTCAGGACTGATGGGTTGGGGTTTGATGATTTTTTTTTTGTTTTGTAGTTTTGGGGAGGTTTTGGTCTTTTTCCCTCCTACAGCCCCTTGCCTCGACAGCAAATCCTGCTGGTAATAATTTCCTTGCCCAGTGGCTGGTTCTGTAGGTACCGGCAATATCTGGTTGTTCCTTGAGGGTGTTCCCAACGCCAGGAGAAGGGAAGCAGCCGGAATCCTGGAATGCCGGGGGGCTGGGAGGCTGTCCCGGGGCTGCCCCTGCCCCGGCCCCGGCACTACCGCCCCGCTGTGTGTCCGCAGGGCAGAAGGAGGGATGAGGAGGGGCAACATGGGCCACCTGACACGCATCGCCAACGCCGTGGTGCACAACATGGAGAAGGGCCCCATGCAGGCCCAGATCAGCGACTTCATCAAAGGTACCTCCCAGCCCTCGGCTCTGCTCCCCCTCAGAGAAAACAGGGTCCTTTGGGAAACGCCCCAGTGTCCCAGAACTGAGGGATGTGCTGGCGGATTTGGCTGCTCTTTGCTTTCGTACGGGGAGGCTCGAAATGTCGGAGCTCTTGTTTTTGCAGCCAGAGGCTGAAGGGCTCCTTTTGGGGCCAGAGGGATTCTCTCCTTCTGGATTTATGGTGCTGATGTGCAGCTTTCCTGGGGGGGTGTCTGTGCATCCTTATTCCTTGTCCATGAGGACCTGGAGTGACAGGCCAGGGGGGAATGGCTTCCCAGTGCCAGAGGGGAGGGTTAAATAGGGTATTGGGAAGGAAGTGCTGGCTGGGAGGGTGGGCAGACCCTGGCACAGGTTGCGCAGAGAAGCTGTGGCTGCCCCTGGATCCCTGGAAGTGTCCAAGGCCAGGTTGGAGCAACCTGGGCCAGTGGAAGGTGTCCCTGCCCATGGCAAGGAGTGGAATGGGATGGGCTTTAAAGTCCCTTCCCACCCAAACCATTCCATAACAGAATTATTACACCTGTCTGAAGAAAGAGAGACACAGGAATTGAAAAGCAGAACTTCAGCCACACTGTGGCTGTTTGCACAGAGGTGGAGGAGAAGAAGTTGTGTATCTTTATCCCCCAGAACTCCGGAGGAGCTCAGGTTGTTCCCACCACTCACATCTTACGGTTTGACCTCCCGGGAGCTGCGGCTTCCTCGGCAGGTTTTGCTGTGGTTGGGAAAGCACGAGTGGAGTGACTCCCTTTGCAGAGCCCTCACACCTTGCTCGGCTCCAGTGCCCTCAGAGCTGATCCTGGTGGTGCCCTTCTCGTTGCAGAGCTGCCTGAGGACTGCCGGGGGAGGTGGGAGAGCTTCGTGGAGGAGACGCTGACGGAGACGAACCGGAGGAACACGGTGGATTTGGTGAGCGCAGCGACCCGAGTTCTCCTGGCCCTCCTTTCACTAAAAAAAAAAGTGATATTTCTGGTTTTCTTTCTCATTGTGCTGTTTTTTCTGAAGAATTTCAAGTGTAGAGCATAGAAAACATATTCCAAAGTAGTTCTCCAAGCAGCAGCTGATCCGTGTTGATGAACTCCAATCCATGTTATTCCTCGGGCCAGTCTCTTCCTGGGAGGAGTTTGGTCTTTGTGGGGGTGGAACTAAAATACTGGAGCTTCCTCAGCTTTGCCTTGTGCTCATTCCTTGGTCCTTCTCCCAGGTGAGCACCCACCACCTGCACTCCTCCAGCGAGGATGAGGACATCGAAAGTGCTTTTCCCAATGAACTTACTCTCCAACAGGTGAGTTGACAGCAACCCTTCCCGATTCCCGGGAAAATTGCTGCTCTGGTTTGCCCTTGGAGGAAGCCAGAAGTACCCTCTGGGTGTCCGTGGTGGGTTTCAGGGGCAGCACTGGGGGAAAACAACCCAATGACAAAACCCACCACAACTTTTTAACAGGAGTAGTGAAGCCCACAGTGGGAATTCCTGCCTGTCTTTGGGAGGAGCTGGGAGCGGATCAGCGTTGTCAGCACAGGCTTCACAGAAGTGTGTGCGATCCCGCTTTGGGAGAAGGGGGTTGGAGTGAGGGTTTCTCCAAGTCTGTCACTTTTTGGTGCTGTTAGTGCTTTTGTAGGGCAGGTTTTTTTCCTCCCAGCTCAGTGCAGGGTCCTGGAATGTCTCGGGACCCCCTCGTGACGGTGGGTTTGGGTCCCTCTCCCAGGCCTTCTCCGAGTACCAGATCCAGCAGATGACAGCCAACTTCGTGGATCAGTTCGGCTTCAACGACGAGGAGTTTGCAGACCAGGACGACAACATCAAGTGAGTTTGTGGTTCTTTAGCGTTTGAGCCTCTTGGCGTCTCACCTTTCTGCTGGGTCAGGTTTAAAATGGACCTCCTTCTCCCTCCCTGGGTTTGAAACGAGCAGGGGAGGGATCAGTGGCTGGGAAAACACGGAGCTGTTTTTATAGGAGCCCGGCCCTACTCTCCAAAGGCGGTTGTGGAACCAAGGGAAAAGTATTTCTTCATTTTAAAGAGGAATGGTTTAAATAAAACACGCAATTATTATTAACCAGCCCCGCTCTAGGAGAAGTTTAATTGCGGAGAAAGCAAAGCATTGGAGCAGGTTCTGGGCGATTAAACACATATTGTCCAAGGAATTAAATTGTCATTGAAATTAGGAATGGAAGAATCGTGGTCTGATGGAGTCCACGGAAAAAATGAGCCATTTACTCCCTTCTGAGGAAGGGAACAGAGATAAGGAGGAGCAAGGACAGCTCAGAGGAGGCAGGAGAGGGGGATTTGATGTTACACAACTTGCTGAGTTCAGAGCTCAGAATTTGCTGCTTTTATAGAATTGCTTTAATCCCATTAAAACTGCAGCTCATCTTCTCTCCTTAAAGATGCACCTGGGACTGTGATCATCCCACTTGGCCATAACGGTTCTGAAATTGGAGCCATTTAGTTCTGGACACAGAAGGGCTCCAGGGCATCCCAATGTTCTGCTCCTCAGCTTTGCCCCTTCACTTCAGCTGCTGGAGGGTTTGTCTCCATCCCAGGAATTCTTTGGGACCCAAGGGGAGTGTGGCAGCACCTCTGTCCTTCATCCAAGGTTCTTCCTGAGCCTTGTAGATGTCAGGACTTTAATAAGGCCAGAAAGTTCCAGACTGAATCAGAGCTGAATTGAACAGAGATTACTTCATTCTACACACTTTAAAAAAACAAAACAAAACAGATTTTTCACTTGTATCAGCAGCAAATGTGACCCTGTGTGTCTGTGTAGGTGCAGGGGAGGACTTAAATTCCGTGAGGAGCTGCCAAAGATTCCTCTTGAACATTGTAAAGTGAACATGATGCTGAAAAAAGTCCATGACTGGGGTTTTATCACTTTATTTGTGATTGGGAAAGGAGAAAGTACTACAAAACGTGGAATATTGTGAGACTGGTGCTCCCTGCCAGGCGTTGGGAACTGTGGGAGATGTGAATTGGAGTAGTTAACAAATGTTAGTAACGTTTCAGTGTCCTGGGGATTTGCAGGATGGTATTTTAAACTGAACAGTCTTTATGTTGCTGTGCTTTTGGACAGTGGCATTTTCTTTAAACAGGGTGGATGAACTCTGCCTGGCCCAGACTGTGTGGGAATGGGGAGTTTTTGGGCTGCAGCTCCCTCTGCTGTTCTCCCAGCGGGCTCCTCTGGGGCCACACAGCAAGTTGGGTCATTCTATGGTTTTTACAGCACAGTGACACACCGGGGGTGTGAGCCACTCACACACTGAGATTCACAGAGTTCCAGAATCACTGAGGTTGGAAAAGCCCTCCCAGATCAGAAGGTCCCCCCTGAGCCTCCTTTTCTCCAGGATGAGCCCCCCCAGCTCCCTCAGGAGTTCTCCAGCCCCTTCCCAGCTCCCTTCCCTGCCCTGCACACGCTCCAGCCCCTCCATTGCTCTCCTGGCCCAAAACTCCCCCAGGATTCCAGGAGAGCCTCCCCAGTGCCATCAGTGCCATCTCCGAGTCCAGTCTTGTGCAGCCCCATGGAATTCCTGGGTGAGCATAGGCCTGGAATTGCAGAGAAGCTGGGTGCAGCTCCTTCTCTTTCATTAACCCTGAGTTTATTTCAGTTTTTCCAATGAGATTGGGTTCAGCTGGAGGGATCTGGTGAAAGCAGAGCTGGCCTTGATGTCCCCCAGGCACCATGAGAGCTCAGATCAGCCCGACCCTACTGGGAGTGCCAGGAACCCCCAAACCCCACAGCAGGGAGCTCGTGGCAAAGGTTGCTCCCTCAGGGATTGAATCAGCCCCAGGAGAGGAGATCTGAACCATGGAATCCAGGAGTGGGTCTGGTTGGGTTGGGATTAGCCCCTCCAGTCCCGCCCCCTGCCATGAACAGGGAATGCTCCAGGCTGAAATAACCCTTCATCTGAGTGAGAAGAGAGCAGTGCACGGACACAGGAGTGGCTGTTGAGGGAACAAACACCTGCAGGCAGGGTCTCTGGGGTTGCACAGGTTCCTCTGTGCCATCACTGAAGGCTCTTTCCCTGCTCTCCCCAGCGCTCCCTTCGACAGGATCGCGGAGATAAACTTCAACATCGACGCGGATGACGACAGTGTGAGTGTGGGATTTATTGAACCTGCCCAGGTCATGCTTTCATTTGGAAAGGACAAACATTGGGAGGGTTTTTTAGTCAGTGCAAAGGTGTCCCCCCTGGTCACTGAGTCCAGTTAAGGAACTGGGAGCACTGCAAATACCCCGGAGGGTCTCTCCCAGAAATATTTCCTCAGAAATACCATTCCTGGCATTTAAAGAGTTTTTCTCCCTCTCTGCAGTGTCAGTCTGTCGTCCCTAGAACCACAGAATCATGGAAAGGTTTGGGTGGGAAGAGACCTTAAAGCCCACCCAGTCCCACCCTGCCATGGGCAGGGACACTTTCCAGATTGCTCCAAACCCCATCCAGCCTGGCCTTGGACACTCCCAGGGATCCAGGGGCAGCCACAGCTTCTCTGCCCAACCTGGACCAGGGCCTCCTCACCTTCCCAGACAGCAATTCCTTCCCAATATCCCATCTGTCCCTGCCCTCTGGCAGTGGGAAACCATTCCCTGTGTCCTGTCCCTCCAGGCCTTGTCCCCAGTCCCTCTCCAGCTCTCCTGGAGCCCCTTCAGGCCCTGCAAGGGGCTCTCAGGTCTCCCTGGATCCTTCTCTTCTCCAGGATAAACAATCCCAATTCTCCCAGCCTTTGATAATCTTTCCAGACACAGATGAGGGAGACATGGAGAGGCCCGGATTTCTTATGGATCTAACTCTTGCTGGGCTATGTCTGGTCTTCCCTGTTTTGTTGTCCCAAAACAAAACAGCAGCTGGACAGGGGTGATCCCAGGGGATCCCAGACTCAACCCCTGAGCAAAGCTTGGTTTGGTCGATACTCAGACTTTGGTTTCCTCAGTCTTTTCCAAGGAATGACTGGAATTTGGTTCCCCCTCCCTGCCCTTTAGCCCAATGCCTCCCTGTTCGAAGCCTGCTGCAACGAGCGGATCCAGCAGTTCGACGACAACGAGGAGGAGGAGGACATCTGGGAGGACAAGGAGATCACCTATGCAACCCAGGTCAAATCAAGAACACGGTAAGGTGAAAACAAAGCACTGATTTCTCCCCCTCCCCCTGAAAGTTGGGAAGCTGCACATTTCAGTCGAGTCTGTGCTTAGCTGTTTGATGTTTGTGTTGCTGAGGGGCTCTGAGGGTTTTGTCTGACAGCCCTGAGGACTTCCTGGGCCACGTGTGCTGGGGATTGGTTGTCTTGAATGTGCAACAAAGACCCGGTTTAAGGGAATTCAATAACAATGGAAAAACCCAAGGACTGAGCCTGTAATGGTGTAAAATCAAAGATACTAAAAAATCCCCACCCTCAGTGTGAAATACTTAGAACTTACTCCTTCATCTTTGGAGAGGAGGAGGAGTCAAGACTGAGGGGAGCAGACAGAACTTTTTCAGAATAGTAAGAAAAAAAGTGATGCTTTTCATGGGAACAAGGGACCTCCCAGGGGCATCTCAGGCTCTGCAAACCCTTCTTCATCCCTTTAATGGAACCAGTTATCAAATAAAGTCACTTCTCTAATTCTGAATCTGAAAATACGATCGGGGGGGACAGGAAAAACCACCAAGACCTCAGTGTTCCCTTGCCAAGCACCGACACCCTGATGGTCCTGCTCCCACACAGGGTCCATTCCACACCAGCATCCTCCCCTTTGCCCCTGGTTTGTGTGGCTCCAGCCCTGGATGTGTCACTGCAGCACATTCCTGCCCCTGCAGATGAGTTTGGACCGGCAAAGCCCTTGGGGATGTCACTGGAGGGATCTCACAGATCCCTGCCTGGCTGTGCCTTCTGGGGGAAAACAACCCTGGGAAAGGCACTGGGCAGTCCCTGGAGCAAGGAGAGGGGAGCTAAGGGCTTGGGGGGGACTGGGGTTCTGCTCACCTTGGGCTCTGGTGCAGGTTTGGGGCATCACAGACCTCGGAGGGCTCGTCCAAGAGCGACCTGGAGAACGGAGACCATGACGGGAGCGTGGACTCGGAGGAGGAGGAGGAGCCCGAGCAGCAGCCGCCTCCCCCCTCGGCAAACAGCCCCAAGAGCAACATTTCTGAGCAGAAGGACTCTGACACCTCTGAAGGTAAGGGGTGTACAGCAGGGGGAGATCTGCAGCGCTGCAGCAAACTTTGCACTGCGCCAGATTCCCGTGAAGAGTCCACAGTTCCACCTGTGCGTGGGAGAAGTGGGAATTTCAGGGTCCATCTCTGCCTCTGGACTATCAGGGAGCTGGAGCCCTGCCCAGCTCCCCTCAGAACAGCAGCTGTGCTCAGGCAGCCACAGGCACAAGGATAATCCCAGGGGAAGGTGTCCCTGCCCCACGGCAGGGCATTGGAATGAGGTGGTTTTTAAGGCCCTTTCCAACCAAAGCATTCCATGATCCCGGGATTCTGTGAATCCCAGCTGTTTTAGTGCAAATCCCGGTCAAAGCACCTCTGGAGGATCAGGGCATGGACTCCTCAGGCCACGAGACAAGGGTTCTGTGCAGACCTTTGCCAGGTGTCTCCACACTCCAGGTCTCTGCCTGTTCTCCTGCTTTTCCAGCTGTATTTTGCCTGTTGCAAAGCCATCCTTACAAAGCCTGGAGGAAGAGTGCAGAGGGACAGGATTTTCATGCGATCACAGGATGGTTTGGGTGGGAAAGGATATTAAAGCCCATCCAGTCCCACAGGGCAGGGACACCTCCCACTAACCCAGGTTGAAAGCTCCATCCAGTCTGCCCTTGGACACTTCCAGGGATCCAGGGGCAGCCACAGCTTCTCTGCCCAACCTGGGCCAGGGCCTGCCCACCCTCCCAGCCAGCAATTCCTTCCCAATATCCCATCTAACCCTGCCCTCTGGCAGTGGGAAGCCATTCCCTGTGTCCTGTCCCTTGTCCCAAGTCCTCTCCATCTTTCCTGTTGGCCCCTTCGGGGATTTTCCCACCTCACCATGTAAACAACGCTGTGGAAGTGCAGGAGACACACAGTGTTGACAGCAGAAAAAATCCAGGGGACAAAAACATTTTCCCAGACTTCCATTTCTCATTTCTCCAGGCGTCTCCAGTTTTAAAACATTTCTTTTTCCGGGGGGTGCCTTGGTGTTGTAACTGGGAGCATCAGGCAGAGGTGTCCCAGTTGCCTGCTCTCTGCACCCCTCTGGAAGTGTCAGGTGTTCCCAGTTTATTAGGAAGAACCAGTATAAACCAGGCACTCCCAGTGGGTGGTGTGTGACAGCCCTGTCACCCTTCCAGAGCCCTCAGCTGGAATTTGGGCTCAGTTCCTGGGGGGTGCAACCCTGGGGGGGGGGGTCTCCCCTGCTTATTCAGTTTGCAGAGCTCTGCAATCCCTCCCCTTTCCTGAGAAAGGTAAGGAAAAATGGCATTTCAAAAAGTGGGATTTGTGAGACTGGAAGCACGGAGTAGGACTAGAAGTGGGAGCAGGTTCTGGTGAAGAAGGAATAGGCCAGGACTGTAAAAAACAAACTTACCAAGTGACTTCTGGGATCTTAAACATTTTAATCCCTTTATCAGTTCCTTACCTGCAACTGCCAGAATCCACAGTTAGGGCTGGAATGGCTGAAAGGGGGCGAAGGGACCTGGAGTTGAGCCGGGAGTCACTGGCTCAGGGATGAAGGCACCCACCCTGTCATTCCTCTGTGTCGATGCCTCTCCTGTGGATAACAGGGATATTCCCAGGCAGGTTGGGAAGGAGCACCCCTGGGGAGGGTGTTCTGCCCGGGATCCCCAGGCTCCTGGGCTGCAGAGGCTGCTGTTGTTGTCCCCAGGGGCGGGGTGGACGGCGGTGTTCGAGCCCGTGAGCTCCAAGCCCCCCACGCCCTGCGTGGCCATGGACGTGGGGTCCAGCGTGTGGGACTCGGCCGCCCCGGAGAGCTCCGCGCCCGAGGAGAAGGGATGGGCCAAGTTCGCAGACTTCCAGCCCTTCTGCTGGTAAGAGCCACAGCACCCCAGTTTTTCCTTGGAGCTCTGGGGTGGGGGAGTGCTAGGAATGCGTTTCGGTGGAGTGCCTGGGCTGTAATCCTTTCTTCTTCCCTCCCCCTTCCCACTGCTTCCCCTTTGATGTTTTAATATTGTCTGATTATCCTGGATCCTGCTTTCCTCCTGCTTCCCAGTGCTCCTAACTGGTGCTGGCATTCCTGTCTTGTGGTACCTCATGTGCCTTTGCTGCTGCTGCTGCCCTCGGGGAGTAAAATCAATTAATAAGGTTTATACAAGTTAAAAATACTCATGGAAGGAAAGGTCAAAGCCTGATGATTCCTTCTGCCGGGGCTGTTTGGAAGCAGTGGGATCCTGTTCCCATTCTCAAGGCTCTTCCTCCCCTCAGCTCAGAGTCAGGCCCTCGCTGCAGCTCCCCCGTGGACACGGAAAGCGGCGGCACCGGCGGGACCCCGAAGCAGGGCCAGGACAAGAACTGTGAGTGAGAACTCTGCCGGGCACACGGGGTGGCACTGAGCCACTGGGAATTCTGCAGGAGCACCAGGTGTAGGGAAAACGTCCCTGCAGTGCCACCCACCCTGAGGGCTCATTTCATCCCAGGGTCAGGCTGTTGAGGGGAACTCAGAAACCCTGGGGGTTTGTTGGGACAGCGTTGTCGGCAAGAACACTGAAGGAAGTTGGAGTTGCCATCACGGAGACATTTCATTTCTCCTGGAAGTGTCCAGGGCCAGTTGGTCTGGGCTTGGAGCAACCTGGGATAGTGGAAGTGTCCTTGCCCATGGCAGGGGATGGGACAGGGTGGGCTTTAAGGTCCCTTCCCACCCAAACCATTCCACGATCCTATAAACTGGTCAAAAGTCCTGTTTTAACTATGCTTGGTTATAAAATCACTCCCCCAGAATTCCAGGGTCAGGGTAAGTCCCTCCACTGGCGGTTGTGCTGAGGCACTGGGAGTCTGTGTGACTCCCTTCCCTCTTCACTCCTGAGCAGGGAAAAATGCCATTTAACGAAGGACTTGGATGGAAGTAAATTAAACCTCTGTGTGTAGTGACCGTGGGAAGGTGGGTGACACTGGGAGGGAGGGAAAGCAGGGGACTGTCTCCTGCCACGTGGGGTTTTTGGGATGCTCTCCCTGTGCAGATGGAGAGCCCATTCAATAAAACCCTGCCTGGCTTTAGAGCTGAAGAATCCCAGGAAGATTTGGGTGGGAAGGGACCTTAAAGCCCACCCAGTCCCACCCCTTGCCATGGGCAGGGTCACCTTGGAGCAGCCCAGGTTGCTCCAAGCCCCGTCCAACCTGGCCTTGGACACTCCCAGGGATCCAGGGGCAGCCACAGCTTCTCTGCCCAACCTGTGCCAGGGCCTCCCCACCCTCCCAGCCAGCAACTCCTTCTCAATATCCCATCTGTCCCTGCCCTCTGGCACTGGGAAGCCATTCCCTGTGTCCTGTCCCTCCAGGCTCTTCTCCAAATTCCCCCCTCCAGTTTTTAGGCTTCCCTTTAGGAAGGAACGGAACTGGATGATCCTAAAGTCCCTTCTCACCCAAACCATTCCACGGTTCCGTGAAAACGCTGTGTTTGACACCACCCTCCTCCCCCGGGGGCCATTCCTGGGGCCTCGTGCCGGGGTTGTGACGTGGGCCATCCCCTCCCGCAGTCAGCCCCGGCTCTCCCTGCGTGTGGAACGTGTGTGTGACGCGGAAGGCGCCGCTGGTGGCCTCGGACAGCAGCTCCTCGGGCGGCTCCGACAGCGACGACGACGACGACAACAACAAGGCCGAGCCCGGCACGGGAGCGGCGGGCACGGCCACGGGGCAGGACGGCAGCCAGCTCCCCGGGGAGGCCAGGAAGGACAAGGCTGTGACCTCCAGGTGGGAAGGGACCTCCATGGGCTTCTGGTGCCAGAAAGGATCCGGGCTCGGGGGGGAAGATCTCATGGAAAAGGGGAGCAAAGCGATGGGTGTCCAGACAGGCAGGGGAAGGTGTGAGTCAGACTCTTGTTCTCCCCTCAGTGTCACAGCCAATAAATGATAAAAACCACAAAATGGCCAGGAAAAGCTGGAGCACATCCTGGGATTTGTGAGCAGCTGGGCAGCAGTTTGTTGGAGTTGTATCCTCTGCCTGCAGCTCTTGAATCATTTGGGACCATAACCAGAATTCCTTACAGAGGAATTCCTTAGTCTGGGAGATAGCAGATCGTTAATTGCTCTCAGCATCTCATTTTGGCAGGGGCTGCCCAGGGAGGTTTGGAGTGCCCAGGCCTGGAGGTGTCCCAGGCAGGCCTGGCCGTGGCACTCAGTGCTCTGGGCTGGGGGACAAGGTGGGGATGGGGCACAGGGTGGATCCATGGGCTGAGAGGGCTTTTCCAACCTCAGGAATCCTGGGATTCAGGTAAGGGGACAGGTGACACCTTCTGTCCCGTCTGTCACTGTCTGTTGGTTTCCCTTCTCTGTCAGCTCATCCCAGACAGGCCTGTATGGACTCAGGGGGCTGCTAAAACCAGCTGAGGCTGGAACACTGATGCCAAATATTTATAGGTACCAGAGTTTGTTCTAGACTGGCAATAAATCTTATGAATCATCTCCTGCCTGGGCCACAGCCTCACACAAACCCCTTCTCTGGGTTTGTGTCACCCCTTGGTCTGTCTGTGTGTGTCCCTGGTGGAGGTTTCCGTGCCCAGCTGTGATTTTTCCAGGAGCCTGGTGAAGGGAGAGGAATTTCCTTGCCCCCCTCAGTGGTCAGGAAACTTCAGTGGTTGATTTTAAGTTCATCTTTGAGCCACTGAAATCTCACGAGCCCCAATTTCTTGTGTGGAAAGTGGTTTTCTGATGACATTTCTGGGAAGTCAGCTCAGTTCTCTGCCATCTCCTCCATCCCTGTCCTCTCTCCAAGGTGTATTTTTGTACTTGCAGTCATTCCCTTTGAAGAGCATGTGAGCCCTTGAGGAAGGGAAATGTTTTGATCTCATTATTCCTCATTTTTATGGTTGAGGGTTTTTTTTTTTTTTTTTCAAGAAAAGCAGCTGCAGAAATAGAACCTTGATCTCAAATCTCCATCACATGTCTCGTTACCAGGCTGTGATTCTGTTATTCCATATTAAAGCTCCCCTGGCAGCTGGTAACAGGATTCCAGCTCAGCCATCCCTGAAAGAGGGGGAAGGAAGTGATGAAACCTGGGGGGAAGGTGGTTCATGGGGAAGCTCCTTCTCTGCCTGGGAGACCAAAATTTCACAGAAATCCCTTCCCCAGTTAGAAATTTGGGTGGTTTCAGTCCTCACAGAGGAGACTTGAAAGGTTTGTGCCCCCAGTATCTCCTTTTCCAGGATTTGAGGTCCTGTAGGACCCTGCTTTGTGGCACCTCCCTGGTACCGGAGCGAGTTCATTTCTCTTGTTTGGCTTCTGAATGTGCTGCTCGTGGACATCCAGTCCGTGGGCTTTTCTTCCATGGGATTTTAGGTTCTGTCCTTAAATTCAGTATTTTCCAGGTGCCCACAGAAGCCTCAGGGGCCACTTGGGAAGAGTCTGTGGGGCAGAGCAGTGTCAGTGCAGAACCAGCAGTTCAGGGAGAGCTGAGCTTGGCAGTGAGAATGGCAGTTCTGGGAACCCTCAGACCGGGAAATGGGAATATCTGCCTGGAGGAACCGACACTCTTGGTGTATCTGGTTGATTTTAGGACCCAGAGCCTCCAGGATGCTGCGTTTCCATCCCAGTTCTCATTTCTCTGTGAGATTTTTGTGGCCTGTGCAGGGAGAGGAGGAGGAGGAGGAGGATTTTCCCCTCCATTGCAGTTCAAGACCCGTTCATTCCTATTTGGTGTGACCTTGGCTCTGACAGGAGCTCCGGTGCTGTTGTAACGTGTTCCCTGTTCCCACAGCGACGCCGACTCCGTGGTGGTTGAGAAAGTGGCCATCGCCGACACGGGGTCGCCCAAGGCCCCCAAAGCCCTCAACAACGTGGCCCCACACTCAGAGGGGCACCAGAAAGTGGCCCCTGTCGTCACAGCCGTCACGGAAACGGCCACGAAAGACAGGTGAGGGTGGGGACAAACCTGGCCTGCTGGGACAGGCTGGGGTTGCTGAGGGGGTGGGGACAAACCTTTAAAACCCACCCAGTGCCACCACTGCCCTGGGCAGGGACACCTTCCACTGGCCCAGGATGCTCCAAGCCCCATCCAACCTGGCCTTGGACACTTCCAGGGATCCAGGGGCAGCCACAGCTTCTCTGGGCTACCTGTGCCAGGGCCTGCCCACCCTCCCAGCCATCAAGTCCTTCCCAATATCCCATCTGTCCCTGCCCTCTGGCACTGGGAAGCCATTCCCTGTGTCCTGTCCCTCCAGGCCTTGTCCCCAGTCCCTCTCCAGCTCTCCTGGAGCCCCTTTTTTGGCCCTGCAAAGGGCTCTCAGGCCTCCCTGAAGCCTTCTCCTCTCCAGGGGAACAATCACAATTCTTCCAGCCTTTTCCTCATAGGGGAGCTGCTCTATCCCCCTAATCCCCTTTGGGGGCAGAGGGTGGAACTAGATGGGTTTAAGGTGCTTTCCCAAACCATTTCCTGGCTCCATGTGATTTTCCAATGTACTGATTTGTGATGGTCCCTGAGAAGGTTCCTGTTGGAGGCTGGTGACGCTTTAGGAGGCAGGAGAAACGAAACTAGAGGAAGGGTGGCTCGGATCCCACCAAGGAGGCGAATTCCCAGCCAGGATGAAGGAAGCCTTAGGAACCAGTGTGTCCCAACAGTTCCCTGTCCCTGATGTTCCTTCTGGGTTTCTCCCCAGGAAAGAAGAGGCCTTGCCCTGTGCCGAAGCCACGTTGAACGGCCCCGCTTGATGCCGCCGCTGCCACGGGACGTGTGTGACCCAGGCCAGGCTGCTCCTGGTGATGCAATTTGTCAATTCTTATTATTTTTTTTTTTTTTTTCCATTTTAATTTTATTTTTTAATAAATGCTGCATTGATGAGAGCGAGCTGGCAATTGAGGACCAGACACGCAGTTCCAACACCAACAAGTCTGTCCGGAGAGACACTTTCGCATTGTCCAAATGTAGCATTGAGCAGTTTAAGTCCTCACAGGAATGACGGGCTCTTCCCAAGCAAAGCCTTCTGCCTGATTTGAGTTGTCCCCCTTTCCCCTCTCTCCCTCGTTTTGTTTTTTTTTTGTTTTGTTTTGTATTTGGGGTTCAAAAGTCCTATTTTCCGAGTGTTATTGCACACAGTATTTCAGCTTCTCTTGGGAAAGGTAGCAGGTCTAACGCCGGGACGGGGACAGTGCACAAGAAGTCCCGCAGTCGTGTGACCAAAGTTCCTGATGGAGCTGTCCTCGGGCAGCCTTTGCACCGCTTTTGTATAGCAATAAAGCCTTATCAGAAACATTTCATAGGAGGAGAAAATGCAAACACTTCCACGGGACGGAGCAGGGAGGGGTTGGAGGTGCAGGTTTGGGGTGGGAGGGGAGGAGGCCGTGGTTGTCCGGAGCCAGAGGCCAAGGGGGTGATGTGCTGTGGGGTGTCTCTGCATTCCAGGGATGGCTCCCTGCTCTCCCATGGAGACTGGTGGTTCAGAGCAGCATTTGGGGTGGGGCAGCACTCGGCCTCTCCTATCCGAGCCTGGGGTGTGGTCCAGGTGTGTCCAGGGAGAGGACACTGCCCGTGGCTCTGCTGCCCAGCAGGACCCAGAGCACACAGAGGTGACCAGGGCTTTTGGTGGCTTTTTGGAGACTTAATGTATTTTCAAATGATTATGGAAATCCTTTTTTCTGTTCGTTTTGTTCTGTTTTTAAAGTTTTTTAATGGATGCAGGAACAGCAACACTTTTGCACTTTGTACCTTGCGACAACATTGGAGAGGGACCCGGCCCCTCCCAGCTCTGGGTGGGCACCCCTGGTGTCCCTGCCCAGAGAGAGCTTTGGGGGGACACAGTGTTGGGGGGGAGAGGCAAACAGGAGGGCAGGACCAGGGGAGGGGCAGCACCCGGAGCTGGGACACGGGATCTGCCCAGCCTGGAGCCCCTGCTCCCGGGAAGGCTGTGCTGGTGACACAGGTGGGCTGTGGGGACACAGGTGACACAGGTGAGGCTCTGGGGGCTCCTCTGCCCCCGAGCTGGACCCGCCGCTGTGCTGGAACCCACCTGGCAGGTGTCCAGTAGTGATCCAAGACCTGGAAAATCGTTCCCTTGGGAGTGAGCTCACGGAGCTTGACGCAGAGGGAGCCAAATAGCTGCTTGCAGGGAGATTCTCCCCCGAGCAGAACGAGGGGCTTGGCCCTGCCAGTGTGAAAGGACCTGCCAGTGGCTCTGGAGCACAGGTGGCTCCAGCCTCGGGGCCTCCTCAGAAATCCTTTGTTCTTGCTGTGATGTCTGTGGTGCTTGTGGAATGTCCTTCCCTGTGGTGAGGTGTGTGAGGGGGGAGCGAGGAGAACGAGGCGTTCCCACACTTGAGATTGGCTCATCCCTGTGTGCCCAAACACTGCTCAGCTCTGCTCTGGAGGGAAAACAGAGGGTTTGCCTTGCTGGAATCCTGGGGAATGGGGTATCCCGCAGGTTCCTGGAGGCTGTGCTGGGGCTGTGGGCCACTCGTGTGCTGCTGGCAGGGCTGGGGATTCTCCAGCTCCTCGGGAAGCAGGTGCAGTTCCTTGGGAAGCAGGTGCTGCCATGGTCTTGTCTGGAAGTCTCCACTCACTCCTTGTAATTTAAAAGAAATAATTTAAAGTTACATTGCACTGGGGAGGGAAAAATCTCACGTTGTGCTTTGGTTCCCCTACTTGGTGTCCAGGGATCAATCCCACTCTGAGCCAGAACTGTCAGGAAGGGTGACTGGGTTTGAGTTCCTGGCTGGAGACACATTCAAGTCTTAATTTTCCAAGGATTGGTGCTAGAGTTCTGCTGAAAATCAGGGTCTCTCTGGGCATTCTTCTAGCCCCCAGAACTGATACTGTGAGAGCTGAGAGATCATTTGTCTGGTACAACTTCAGCAGCTGTTGGATACCACGGCTGGGCTCCGGTCCCAGGGAGGAGCCAGCCTGTTCTTGGTGGTTCCACCATGACCAATTATGACCAGATCCACTTGGGATCGGGAGATGAGGGGAAAATGTCCCTAGCAGGCACGGTTTGCTCATCCTTCTGGCTTCGATCTGTTCTCATCCACCTCATCAGTCAGAGAAATGAGCTTTGCACTGGGTCGTGTCACAGTCGGGGTCACCACCGGCTCTCCCTGCCTGCTGTGCTGGGAATGCCGTGGTTTGGGAGCAGTAATTCCCCCTGGGCTGGGCCACAGGGCTGCTGGCAGCAATAACCCCTGGATGGCTCCGAGAGGACGTGTCTGTCCGTGCCTTCCGCTGCAGATTCCGAGCTTGGCATTCGTCAGCTCTTGCTCCGGGTCTCCGAACGCCAGGGAGAGCTTTAGTGACAATATCCGTGGGCTTATCCAGCGAGCAGCTCCAAACACGGGGTGGGTACCGGGGCACTCGTTATCTTGGTGGATTAATTTGATTACCTGTGCTAATAAGACATGTCACTGGCCGTCAGAGCAGTAGAGATGCACGAGCTCCGTCGCTTCTGTGCCACTGGGTGATCCCTCCTGTGGGATTGGAGCTCTGAATTACCTCATTCCTCCCGTGGGACTGTCCATCACACCAGCCACGACGTGATGCTGATCCACACAAACCTCCTCCTGCTTGGTGTGTCGTGGTTTTTGCTGTTCAGAGCAGATCCAGAGTCGGGAGGTTCCTTACCCAGCTCTGATGATTTTAGAGGCAAACCAGGAATGAATGTTCTTCTGAGTCTGATTGTCCCGTCTCCCAGGGCTGGAGCCACATCTGTTGGGTGTGAAAGTGGATTTCCTGACCCCACCTGTCCCTTTAACTCCCTGGGCTTGCTCAGCCCAGATTCTGCTCATCTCTGTCCCTGCTCCCTCTGTGCAGAGACTGGGATCTGCCCATATCCATAGGGTGCCTGTCCTGGTAGGATTGACCTGTCTGCTGCTGAGTGTGTCTGTGTAGGCCTGTATTTT